GCAGTACACTCTGGTATATATCGATATGAGAGGTGCAGTGACGAGGGCCGATCAGTTGGGAATAAGGTTGGAGGGGTTCCCGCGAGGCGTGAGTGAAGTCCTGAGACGGGCCAGGAGCACTGCGCACACACATTGTTGCTGGATAAATCATGGTATAATCAGGGATTGCAAAGATAGCTGGCTTGGATAGACCTTATCGTCTGGGCGCGATGAAGCGAGGTCTTGTTCGAGGGCTCGCTACGGGACCAGGAAAGCTGAAAGCTAGTCGAGGTAATGATGCTGCAGCAACTCAATCCAGATGTGAATACGGCTAAACCAAGATAATTTGCCAGGGAATATCGTGGATTTCAAGCGAGATGCAACTTTTTCGCCGTCGTCGTCGTCGTCGTCGATTCTAAAAAAAAGAGAACAAAAAACAAACGGCGGCTACAAAACTCTAAAAGGCGGCTACTCAGTCATGTGATCCAGCCGCGTCAGTCGAAGTTTAATAAGCGCCGTCTTTATTTTTTGTTTCGTTTTTCTTTTTTTCTTTCATTCTTTCTTTTTTGTTGAGATGAAAAAGGAAAAAAATCAAAGAAGCAAATTAACCACATGAATGAAGGAATGTGGACTATTGACCCAGTAAACTATTCAATTAATGAGCAATTGATGGCTTTGCTGCAGCTTTAATCAAAAGTTCCCGGTCTTTATTTGAAGTTATACTTGATAGTTGGGTGGCTTGGTTACGCTGTGCTAGTTAAACCACCGGCCTGCCTTTGAGATATCTTGTCCTACCTATGTTATGCGGCGCAGGAGATTGCTATGTAACTTTTCTTCAGCTGTCTACTAGACTGCTAATCCATGCTATCTCTCTTAATGGAGAGTATTATACCCTGATAACGAACGGTTCGCATACGGACCAATGTCATGCTGTGTTGATGGTACTTCCACCCCCCGTCTTGCTACGGTCGAGCGGGCCGACATATTGATATGCACCAGATCACCAATCCCACGCAGCGTACCATACTCGGTAGACTGGATATTGCGCAGCGTACTCCGAAGACTAGATATTATGCCGAGATTAAGTTCTGCAAACTAGCAGGACGCGGGGATGGCGAGATATAGATAGCGGTGTTATGTCAGTGCTTTCGACTCGCTTACGGACTTGGCTTGGAGGTAGGACGTTGACGACGACCTGCTTAGTTTGACGATAAGATGATGGCGAGATGACGCTGTCTGATGTTTGATTCTCCACAAGTAGATGCTTTTCGTGGCTAAAATAGTTACGTGTTGAGAAGAGTGTTTTGATGAATGGCGAGTCGCAGTTCCAGTTCCACTGTATAGGAGTAAGGCGAAGGAAGAAACGACGAGGACGGGAAGGAGAGGACTTTTTAATACGAAGCAGAGGCAGAGGCATGTAGATTAGCCGAGTTAAAAGAAGGGTTGGGAGTATGGAGAATGGAGGAAGTAGGAGTAAGTAAGGATAAGCATCCAGCGGCCAACCCAGCTGTCTGGCACCGCGTATCCCTTCCCCCTCCGTCCATCTCCATTTTGCGCGGCATCTCCGCTTACCCACTCGCCCATCCTGAAGGTATCCGGCTTTGCTTTGCTTCCGGCTTTGCTTTGCTTCCGGCTTTGCTTTGCTTGTCCTTTGTTTTGTTCTGGCTTGTCGGTCTGTTTCAAGGTAGAGAGCAGAGCAGCGAAGGTTCAACCTTGACTTTTGAGGTACTTGGTACGAGGTGTATGTCTTGTATGAGAAAGGCCTTAGATAGACGCCGCCACGGCAGGACGCAGGATGTATCAGACACAGAACATCGACATAAGAATTGCATGTCTGTACGGAGTATGTAATAATGTCTGTATATGCAAGAGGTATACGGAGACAAGAGCGCCACAAAAGCTACCCTGTCGACTCCGCGACCGGAGGGGCAGCAATTCGGCCAACCAGTAACCATAAACCAGTGACCACTATATATAGTTATCTCCCTGGTAGGTTTTGCGGGTGGGTTAGAGACTTCTTCCTTGCAGGCCGTGATTGAATGTGTATGTATGTATGTTTGATATTGCACTGGATGCGCAGTCGATGTATGGGGGAGGCCGGGCCGGACGGACAAGTCGGCTCGCGCAGTAAATGTAATAGCAATAATGATAAAGTCATGGATAGACAAGAGGGAGCATCGTACGACCTTGACTTCGCTAGTAGTGATTGAGCAAGCGAGCTATTTAGTTAGTTTGTAGCAACCATTGACTTTTTTTGATATCCTACCGGCTGAATATGGTCTCTGCCCTGTCGGCCGTCTCGACAAGAAGACTTATCTCGAAAGCAAAGAGAGCAAAGAGCGAAGAGCAAAGAGCAAAAGAGCAGAGCGGAAAAACGAATCATTGCCACCAGAGATAAGGGAAGGGAGAGAAAAAAGAGAAAAAAGTCTTTCCAACTTTCCTTGCATGCGCCGAGACAAGCAAGTAAAGT